ATTCTATTTACCATTTCCATAACTGTACTTCAGTCTCCTCTGGCTGCTCCTTCAATCTTGCCACTCATTATGATCATGCCCCTACCTGACTTTAGATAGTGAACTCAGCCATAGGATCTCTACCATTTCAGAGTCCTGCTATAATGAACGTAGTTGGAAGGGTCTCTCCACCATCAAGCCTAACCTACAGAGAGAGCCACCAGTGAATTTCTCAGTGGTGCTGGTGCCCTTCTTGCTAGCACATTCCTTATCACCTTGATAAATGGTGTATCCTGGGTTTTTCTGTTTGAGTTTTCCAGGCTTGTTTGATCTATCCACTACAGTAGGCTCACTTCTGAATCTTTTCATCCTTTCTTCTACTACTATCACAGCAATGCTGGCATTTCAACCTCACTTAGCATGGGTCATCACTTTTTGTGTATTTCAAGGGGTCATCTAATTGTGAGACTGCTTTACCTCATGTGGTCCTTTCCAGAGCGTTAAATCCTGTATTCCAGAGTAGTGCTCCAAAATTGATAAACTGCCTGTTGTCCCACCTTATAGTCTAGCTCTCTTGATCAAGCAGTCTCAGAATTCAATTCCATGTGAACCCTTCCAGTTCCTGCGGATCCATGCTGGGTATCTTGCAGCTTCTTGACGTACAATCGCTCTTCTCCTTGATCAAGTCTCACATGTCCATGCTGTGCCTTAGCCCTTGTTATAGGCCTAATGGCAAGAAGGGGAGGGGAAAGCACATGTTGTCTTGTTGGGGAGAAGCTTTGCATGTCTGCAAGCAAGAGGATGGGGCGGGCGTGGGTACTACCAATAGGGAAATTGCACCAGTTCTATGGGCTCAGCTGGTTCAGGGAAATCTAAGGATTCAAGATTTTGGTAGCATCAATCTAGATAGCCCCAAACCATGTGTCAGGGTCTCATTCTTTCCCGGGCAGCATCCTGATTTTGACATAGCAAATGTGTCTCTATTTCTCCATTGGGAGTTTACTCCTTTTTAGAGCTCAATACCACTAAATTCCATTGGTTCTTTTTGTTGTTGTTTTGCTTTGTTTCAGAGTCAGGGACTCGCTCTGTTGCTCAGGCTGGAGTACAGTGGCATGATCATAACTCACTGCAGCCTTGAACTCCTAGGCTCAAGTGATCCTCCTACCTTGCCTTTCCATTGGTCTTATAGCTACTACTTCCTCTATATTTCTCAAACACTTGAAACATCACAGAAGATTATACGTTCCCTTTAACCATTCCAATTCACCACCTGGTGGAAGTTTTAACAATAATAGGACTGCTGCCTTGTGGCAGGGGGCTATCTGTACTCCATCCACTCTGTGATATGGTCCTTATTGCCAACAGGGCAGTAAGTGATTTAGCTCCCAAATATCATCCAAATGCTCTGGTTTCTCTTCAGATCATATAAATCTTTCACCTTTTACCAAATATCATCATAGTCCCAAATTTCTTGGATCACTCCCAATTTCAAGTGTTACAGTTTGAGTTCCCCAGGAGGCAGATTCCAAGAAAGAGCTTTCTGTGCAGGGTGCTTATTAAGAGGTATTCTTAGATTAGGATCTGTGCAATGAAGTAGGTGTGGGCAGAGGGGAACACTGAGCTACAATGCAGGTTCAACAGCAGAGAGCCAACCCCACAGAGAGATTTGGAGTTAGAATGACCCTTCCCAGTTGTCCCAAATTGGGTTGAGACAGTCAGGTCTTTATACCCCCTCTTTGATCAGTTACTGCAGGCTGCCCCAGAAAAGTTTGTGACCTTGGGTAAACAGAGATTACCTGAAGCAATCCCTGAAGGGCTAACAGCTGAAGGCAGTCTGTCAACATTTCTCCTAGCAGCTCAGTCAACAAGTCTTTTATTGAAATGAGAGGTGGGCTGACACATCACAGTATCCATCACAGATGTCATCTCTTTACATTAAAAATTGCCAATTAAATGTAAAGAGTTAAGCATTTATCATGTCCTTCCTATATAAATTGTATTTCAGATGAACCAAATAGCCATGGTTGATGAGGGTAAGTTCTATACAGAATGATCCAGTTAATAAATTAGAAGAAATTATGAGATTGACTATCATAATTTTACAGTCCTAATAACATATGTTTTTCAGACAATGAAACCATAAAGTAAAAGGTTGGTGGAGAAATTTATAGTGCAAGCTTCAGGCTGCCTCTCCCTGAAGTCAATGATGAATCTGAACATGTCTAAGTGTTGCACAGTATGTATTTCCTGATGTGATGCAATGGGAACTATATAGCACCATCTATGAGCATTCCTATTTAGAAAACATTGTACTAGACTCTAAGACTCTAGAGACAATTTATGGTTTATAGTTAAGTTACACTTTTTCCTGTAACAAGAGGAGCAAGTTAAGTAACATGAAGAAGCAAGACAAATGAAAACGTAGGGCATTCAACAGTCCAACTGTCTCGGTTTGTTTAACAACTCAAGGGGTTGGGCACGATGGCTCACACGTGTAATCCCAGCACTTTGGGAGGCCGAGGTGGGAGGATCATTTGAGCCCAGGAGTCCAAGAGCAGCCTGGGCAACGTGGGGAGAACCCATCTCTACCAAAAAAAAAAAAAAAAAAAAAAAAAAAAAAAAAAAAAAAAAATCAATAGCATGAATAAAAAAAAAAGAGAGGGGAGACTTTTAGATTAAAATGGATTTAAGACACATAACCATGTGCAATGTGTGCACTTGGAGTCTAGATTTCAACAAACCAACTGTAAGTAGACATTTCTGAGACAATTGGGGGAAATCAGAATATGGACTGCGCCAAGCAAAGTGGCTTGCGCCTGTAATCCCAGCATGTTGGGAGGCCAAATCAGGTGGATTGCATGAGCCCAGGAGCTTGAGACCAGCCTGGGCAACGTGGCAAAACCCCATCTCTAGAAAATATAAAAAGTAAAAAAATGACCTGGGTGTGATGGTGTATGCCTGTAGTCCCAGCTACTAAGGAGGCTGAGTTGGGAGAATTGCTTGATCCCAGGAGGTCAAGGCTGCAGTGAGCCAAGATCGTACCACTGCACTAAAGCCTGGGTGACAGAGCGAGACCCTGTCTCAAAAAAAAGACTGGGTATTAGAAGATAACAAAGAATTAGTATAAATTTTGTTTGGTATAAAAGTGGCATGGTGGTTATGTTTGTTAGAAAATATACATGTTTTTAAAGAACACTGAAGTATATAAAATAAAATGGCATGATGTTTGAGATTTGCCCTGAAATGCTCACAGCTTACAGAAATGAAAAAGAAGAAGAAAAGGGATATAGAAAACAAGTGCCTTAGTCAGATCTGGCTGCTGTTAACAAAGTACCATAGACTAGGTTGCGTATTAACAGCAGATGGTCAGGTTCTGGTAGGGTCCCTCTTCTGGGTTGCAGAATTCAGACCCTTTCTTGAGTCCTCGTGGAAGAGGGTGAGAGAGCTCTCTGGGGTCCTTTTTATGAGGCACTAATCCCATCATGAGGGTTCCACCCTCATGACCTAATTACTTGGCAAAGGCCCCAACTCCTAATCCTAATACCTAATACCATCATATTGGGAGTTAGGATTTCAACATATGAATTTTGGGGAGCACAAATGTTCAGTCCATTGCAGCAGGTGTGGCAGTCTTGATAATTACTGCATCTGAGTAATAAATACATGGGATTCATTATATTGTTTTCTGTACTTTTGTGTATTTTAAAAATTTGAAGAAAAGATAACTAAAAAATAGACAGATGTAAAGCACCCAGTGGGGGTAAAAAATGATGCTCCAAGGCATAAACAGGCATTTATAGAAGAGGAGATGCAAATGTATACTAAACATTTGAAAAGATATTCAACCTTACTGGTAGTCAGGAAAATGCAAATTAAAACAATGAGGAGATACTATTTTTTATTGAAAAGACTGTCAAAAAGTTAAAAGATTGGGACCATCTAGTGCTATGAACATGGCAAAATAGCGCCAATTGTTGCTGGGAGGGCAAATTGCCTATCTTACAGCATTTATTAAGATTAAACCATGCACATGCTATTAGATGCAGCAATCTCATCTTTTGGAATTCATTCTGTGGAGATAACAGTATCAGAAATTAATGACCTGTACATGAGTGTGTGAAGGAGCATTTTTTGTATTGTCAAAATTAAAAAAAGAGGACAACCTAAATTACCATAAAGGAATAGTCAAATAAATTATAGTTCATTCATGCCATAGAATGTTACATATATTTTTAACGAATCTATTTTTCTATTATCAGGGTATATTTATAGTACATTAGAAAATACAGGTAAGAAAAAAGGAAAAAGTGTCTAGTTCAAGACCCAGAGATATCATCTTGCTGTATATCAAGTGGTTTTTGTTGTGTGTATGTGTGTATATGTGTGTATGTATGCATTTATATGTATATATGCATACACATATACTTGTTTTTGCAATAGAAAAGGCATCATGCATTCCACAATATGTTGTAACTCCTTGTTTTCTTCATTCCTTCATGAATATTTTTCTACATAAACACATACTTATCTACAAACATGGCCTTTAAGAACTGCACGGCATTTCATTTTATGCATACTTCATAACTCGACCAATCCCCTACTTGGCGGTATTTAAGTGAATCAAATTTCTCCTTTTAGAAACACCGTCCCTGCATTCTAGCAAGACTTTGGAGATAGTTTGCTAAGTGCCTTCCAGAAAGTTCTGGGTGCTTCTGGAGGCATTTGAGGCAGAGTAGGTAGAATGTTTTCCCATCAGGCGAGCTTGCTATCTTCCCAGATAGCAACACTGTAGTCTTTAGAACTTGAAAGACTTGTCTTATCTTGTCTGTTAGTCATGCAGCTTAAGCGGGACTAGGTTCCAGAAATCCCATACATGCTCTCCCTCCTCTTGCTTCATTCACGCCCCTCCCCACGCGCCCTCCCCTCGGCCCGCGCGCTTTCCCGCTCGGCGGCCTGGCCTATGGCAAACGCCAAGAATTAATTAGGGGCGGGGATCAAGGAGCGGCTGTCAGGAGGTCGCCATATTTCTGTACGGCCCAGAGGCAGCCCGAGCAGTCGCCGGGTCGGTAGAGGTGCTGACAGGGCGGAGCCGCCGCTTGGCTCAGCCGGCCTCACCCCTCCCGCCCGGGACAGGTGGCTGGAGCGCGCCCCGCCTCCGCCAGCTGCGAGTGGGAGCCAGGGAGGGCCGGTCCCGGACGGTCGCCGCCAGCTGCGAGTGGGAGTGAGCAAGGGCTAGTCCCGGACCGCCGGGCCAGGGGTCCGGCGGCAGCAGACGGGTACCCTGGCGGCCAAAAAAATGCTCCTGTACCGAGGGGCCCCCGCCGGTCCTGGCGCGCCGGGCTGCGGGCTGGCCCGGCCCGGCGGCGGCCCGCAGGCCTTCGGGATCCGCCTGAGCACGGTAGGTCCGGGGCCCGAGGGGGCGGACGCGCGCGCGGGCCCCTGGGCTGCGGGGGGCGCGCGGGGGGCGCGCGGGGAGGGCCCGGCGGGCCGAGGCCTCACGCGGGACGGGACCTTCTCTCGCCCCCAGATGAGCCCCCGCTACCTCCAGAGCAACTCCAGCAGCCACACGCGACCCTTCAGTGCCATCGCGGAGCTGCTAGGTGAGTGGCGAGGGCGGGCTCGGCAGTGTTCGCCCGAGGCAGTGGTGCCAGCGTGGTGCCGCGGACGCGAGAGGAATGCGCAGAGCCGCGCGGGGCGGGCCGGGGCTGGGGTGGGGGCCTCGGAACCGGCCCCGGCTCGGCAGGCGGAGGAGGGGGATGTCTCTCTCGCCAGGAACTGGGTTCCGCTCCTAAAACGGAGGAAACGAGGTGTGTCCGAAGCGTTACAGATACCAGTATGTTTTTTCTCTCGCGCTCGTGATGTTCGGGCACTTTAGGATAGCTTAGTTAGTAATCAAAAGGAGATGCATAAAAACCTCAGGCCCCGAGGCAGCTGGGCTCAGCAGGGGCTGGCGACCGACGGAAGATGCCCAGCTAGCAAAGGGGCGTTGTAGAGGACCGAGGCGGGTCCTGGGGAAAGGTCTGGAAAGGGGAGTTCCTTAACTTTTGAGACAAGAAAGTTAGGAATGATGGGACATCTCTTAAGAGATGACACGAGTGCATTTGGCTCCCTGCTACTGCGGAGGGCTGGGTCCGTGGTCCACGAGCGCCCTCACACCGCTGGAATGAATATTGAGTACTTAACCTCTCGCTCCACCGGTGTTTGCTTTTCAAGTGTTTTCAGTTGATCCCTTCAAGCTAAGTACACCAATTTTTGCAGTAGTGTGCTACTGTGTGGAAAGCAAAGAAGAACTACAGTCTTGTACAAAATGCAGCAGCATACAGGGCGCATTATACATGCTTTGAAAATCGAAAGAAGGAAGAAGTATTTATGGACAAGGTTGCACAGAACAAACTCTTGAAAATGTTTTCAAAGCTCCCCAAATGAACCCCAGTCTCTACTTAAGCAATCGCTGTGGCCTTGTCATGAGAGTTATCTTGGGTAAGAAGTCAATGGGTAGCAGGAGACTTAGTTGGAAGGTTGATAAGAATGATAGAGACCTTTGATGATTAACCTTAACACGGAATGCTTTACAATATGTATAATTTAATTAGAAGGTGAAAGGCAAAAAGTGGAATTGATACGTTTGGAACCCTAGAGCAGAGGGACTGTATCTTTGAGGTTTGGTACTGTGCCTTGGGGCTGTGCACTGAACCTCTGCAGAATGGAATACAATCCAAGTTAAGTATGTAATTTGCAAGAAAGACTACAAGGGAGCAAAAAATAATGATTTACATAGTGGGGAGTTCTATGTAAACTCCCCATATGTTTACATAGGGAACCGAATGTAAACGGTTACATAGGGAACCGAATGGGAAACCGAAATGTATTGTTCTCTCATGGTTGGCACCGTGTAGAATGTGATATACCTGTGCTATGCTTACTGTACTTTCCAGGTGATTTAATGAGTTTTAAATTTGTAATTTTGAATATTTGTGATTTTGGCCATAAGCATTACCTTAAAGAACCTAAGTCAGATCTAAGATGTCCAGTATGAGAACAAATATGTGTATGTATTATGCACACACATGCATGCATACATGTATACAAACACAGATTTTAAGACCAAATAACAACTATTTGTGAAAATATTAATAATACGGAAAAGAGAGAGCAAAGTGTTAACTGGCAATCCAAAGCTTTCATTTTGGGTTTTCCTTCAATCATTTTATCCACTTAGGCATTAATTTTCTAGTGAATCATTCATTTGGTAAATATTTATTGAGCACCCACTGTGTGCAAGGCCACTGTGGTAGGCACAAAAATGAATATAACACAGATTCACTCTTCTAGTAGGGGAGATAAAACATGTACAGAAGGTTTATGCTTTGTATAACAACAAAATAGAAATCGATATATAAACAAAGATAAAAACAAGTGCTGTGGGAGTTCAGAGGAAGGAGGAATGGCTTCCAGCTTATCAGGAAGAGGAAGGTTAGGAAATGCTTTGTAGAGGAGGTGACATTTAAACTGAGATTTGAAAGATTGGGACATGTGGATATGGGTGGGGAGGAATTCCAGGCAAAAGGAACAACTGCTTGAACAAAGGCATGAAGAATATTGAGTGGAGTTTAATTAGAGCATGGGGTTCACAAATAGTAAAAATGATAGGTACTTAAAAAGTTTACAAACAGCTTTCACAAATAACTTTTTAACATTACCCTTTGAGGTAAACATTTACTTTCATCCTGCAGATGAAGAAAAAGAGGTTCAGAAAATTTAATTGACTTTTCCAAGGTTACGTGTATACTAAATAGCAGATCCAGGACTCAAACACAGGCCTTTTTACTCCAGATACTAAGTAAGGATGAGGTTATAAAGGTCATCTGGAATCAGGATGTGACTGGAGGCTTCAGTATTTTGCTTTTTAGCCTGAAGTTTTCTGAGCAGGGGAATGTCATGATCAGAGCTGTGTATCAGGAAAGTCAATCTTGCAGCAGTGTATAAAATTGAAGGAGAGAGAGATACAGATTTATATGACTAGTTAGGAGGTTATTGCAATAATCCAGATGAGGGGAAATAAACTTTGTAAGAGACTGACAAGAGTAAATAGGATATGAGAGAGTCTAGGGATGTATAGGGTAAAGGAGAGGGAGGGATAAGAAAAGTACTTAAATTTCAAATTTGTGGTCTCTTCAGTGCTAACCTTGTGTGTGTTTGTAACAAAGGAAGAATAGGCTTGTGACAAAAGGTGATGACTTTACCTTTAGGCAGGAATACTTTTAGATACCTGTAGGATTTCTGTAGGACAGTAGCTCCACCCTTGGCAATCTTTCATGTAGCCACCTGTAGGCCATTCTTCTGGAACAGGGGAGGATGGGAGCCTTGTGATGCTATGAAACAGAAAAGGATGAGAGGCTTGTGAAGCACTACCTCAAAGCCATCTCCCACTTGCCATCTTATCTCTCCTGGGAGGCTGTCATGGAATAGTTTCTCATTGCCTCCTAGATTCTGATGAGCTAGAGAGCAAGGGGAAGGTAGAGATGGGGTCCTCCCACCAAGGGATAGCATGAGCTAAGTTAGCAGAGAGAAAACTCCTTGTGATTTGGTAGCACATGGGATTGTGTGGCCAGGTTAGGGAATGAAGACACTCCAGCATCTGATAGCACAATTCTCACCTAACTGGTGGGCAGGGAGAGAGGAGTAAAGATTCTTTCATTGCGCTACCTGTTCATTGGCTGGATGGGCCGGGTTAGGAGAGAAGATAGATTTTCTGGGATCCAATAGCATTTGCCATGTATTAGTAAATGTTTGGAGGGTTAAGCAGCAAGAAGTAGGATTGAAACCAGCCTCCAGATCGGTGCCTTGTTATCATAAGTTCATTTATTGAGGCCAGCCTTGTTATTATTGTAATTTCATTTGCTGAGACCGAATGAAAGGCCATGTAAAACTGAAAGTAAGTACAAAACCGTGCTTGCTGGTGCCTCTTTACTGATCTCTCTTTCCCTACTGCTCCAGCTGACCCTGGCCTCTTGCATGCCCCCTCCCCCTTGTATTCCATGAGCTTCCAGCCAAGGAGATAAAATGTTGAGCTGCTCCTGGCAGCTACCTTGTAACTCCTGAAGTGCCTGTGTTAAAACTATTTGGTGTGTTCCTGTAAAAAAAAAAAAAAAAAAAAAAGTACCTAGTAAAGTTTGGGCAAAATTGCAGTAAAGAGGAAAAGAATTGAGGTGATATTGTGAGAGGCCTTTGAGCTGATTCGTTGAATGCACCATTGGGTAAACATGTAGTTGCAGTAGATAGGTGTTACGTGTTTGAATCGTGAATGTTCACAAATTGTTAGAAAAAAATTCCTCTATGTCCAGAGTTTTCAGTGTATAAATGACGTCCAGTTGATTGGCAAGTTGTATCATCAGTCACAGTGCCTTTGGTTGTCTGCCAGCAGGAGTGTCTGATCAGTCCCAACACAATTCATGGCCTGCTTGCCGAGTAAAGGTTCTTGAAACAGTGTAGGCAGCTAAGTAATGCTGAATCCTTTAGTCAGTTAAAGAAAAATACTGCTGCCTCTTACAAAGTAAAGAACTACATTTCTGATAAAGCCGCCATTACATGACAGACTTGTAACTCCTGCCAAAACTTAGCCCACTTGTCTTGCCACATTATATGGGCCCTAGGCCCCCCACCTGGTCCTTAAAGCTTGACTATATCATCCATCAACAGAAGAATGGATAAAGAAAATGTGGTATATAGACACAATGGAATACTGCTTAGCCATAAAAAGAAGGAAATATTGTCATTTGCAGCAACATGGATAAACTTGAAGGACATTATGTTAAATGAAATAAGCCAGGCACAGAAGGCAAACTATGTGGAATGTTCTAACTTCTATGTGGAAACTAAAAAAGTACTAAGTAGCAGATCCAGGATGCAAACACAGGTCTTTTTACTGGAAATACCCAGTAGGGAATGAGGTTAAAAAGGTCATCTGGGATCAGGTTTTGACTGGAAGGCTCCGGTGTTTGGCTTTTTAGCCTGAAGTTTTCTGAGCAGAGGAATGTCATGATCAGAGCTGTGCTTCAGGAAAGTTAATCTTCAGCAGTGTATAAAATTGAAAGGGAGATATATGGATTTATAATAGTAGTTAGGGCTGGGCGCGGTGGCTCACGTCTGTAATCCCAGCACTTTGGGAGGCCGAGGCAGGCGGATCACGGAGTCAGGAGATCAAGACCATCCTGGCTAACATGGTGAAACCCCATCTCTACTGAAAATACAAAATATTAGCCAGGCGTGGTGGCGGGCACCTGTAGTCCCAGCTACTTGGAGGCTGAGGCAGGAGAATGGCAGGAACCCGGGACGTGGAGCTTGCAGTGAGCCGAGATTGCACCACTGCACTCCAGCCTGGGCGACAGAGCCAGATTCCACCTCAAAAAAAAAAAAAAAAAAGTAGTTAGGAGGTTATTGCAATAAGCTTAGAAGTAGAGAGTGGAATAGTAGTTAATAAAGGCTGGGAAGGGTGGGAGGGGGTATAGCTAGAGGTTGGTTAATGACTACAGAATTACAACTAAGATAAAATAAATAAGTTCTAGTGTTTTATAGCACTGTAGAATGGCTATAATTAATAACAATTAACTGTATATTTTCAAATAGCTAGAAGAATAGATTTTGAATATTCCCAACAAAAGAAGTGATAAATGTTTGAGGTAATGAATATGCTAATTATCCTGATTTGATCATTACACATTGTATTCTATAAATATGTACAACTATTATGTGAATTAAAAAAATAATAAAAACAAAAAAAGTGGCTGCTACTCATATGAAATAAACTTTCCCTTAGGGCCTTGTGAATAAAAAAAAAAAAAAAAAGATTGACTATACCAGGCCTCTTAATCCCCTTCTGGGACTATTGGTGATGCCCTACTGCTATTAAGACTTTTTCCACTTACAGTCAGTGACAGTTTTATCAGTGACTCTGGCAATACCATTGTGGCCCTTGAAATTAATCTGTATTTTGTTTTATTTAATGAACATTCCACATATCCAAGTGGCTGTAACTGATATTGTTAACTGTATTATTAAAAAAATGGGTGTTTTGCATATTTGTAATACTTCTCTTGATTGTAAGGGGTGTTCCCGGGAAAAAAGTGACATGATTTGATCAGTGGTAATGGAACAAGTATATGGCCAGGACTTGACCTGGCTGTCTCAGCTTAGCTTTTTGGTATCACTAAAGCAGTATAGGATACCAGGGAAAGGGAAGAGAGTGGAAGGCAAGGACTCTGTCTTGCTCAAAGAGCTTAGTAGAGACGGGGAACGATTAAGGAACCTATCCAACAGATTGTATAAACTGCCCCTCAGTTGTGGCCAGTGAGCCACATTTGTCGGTGATTGACAATTATGTAAACTGGTACCTGTGGTAAAAACATGTGGCAACTAGACAGTGGCACCCCTGGGGTTGTGAATGTGACACAATTGTTAGACTATGGCAATTTTTGATGTCTTTGGAGTCTTTTTTTTTGTTGTTTGTTTGTTTGTTTGTTTGAGATGAAGTCTCGCTCTGTTGCCCAGGTTAGAGTGCCGTGGCGCCATCTCGGCTCACTGCCAGCTCCACCTCCCAGGTTCACGCCGTTCTCCTGCCTCAGCCTCCCGAGTAGCTGGGACAACAGGCTCCTGCCACCATGCCTGGCTAAATTTTTGTATTTTTAGTAGAGACGGGGTTTCACCGTGTTAGCCAGGATGGTCTTGATCTCTTGACCTTGTGATCCGCCCGCCTTGGCCTCCCAAAGTGCTGGGATTACAGGCGTGAGCCACCACGCCTGGCCTGGAGTCTTGTTTGACCTTTACCGATGATGGATGTGGGATGACAACTCATTGTGAAGACATAAATCAGGAGGAATCGTGAACCTATGTATTTTTTCTACTTTGATTCTATGTTCTCCATTTCCTGAGAGGATGGACAGCCTTGCCTTTAAAACTATTACAAAATACCTAAGCAAAAATCACTCCTTTTAATTATGCTTGCTACCATCACTGAGATCTAGGCAGGCAATTAAGACTTTTGGTTTTAAACTCTAACCCTTTCAGTGCTTCTTAGGCTATAAACAGGAATGGCAGTACTATCTGTGTTCTTTAACAGAGGAGGTGATGTAAGAAAGAAGAAAATAAAATGATCACAAATAAACTGTAATGTGTGTAATATGCATCATCTTTTACCAAAATTGCTCATTCAGCTTTTCTCCGTAACCACTCTTTACTGTATGTGTATATAAACAGTAAAGGGGCTAAAAGGCAAGAAGAAGTAATAAGACAAAAATGGAGCAAAATGCTTTTTATATGGGAGTAGTTATTAATACTTTTTTCCAAAGACCCTGCAGTTTGAAGTGGAAAGGCAGATTGCAGATCGCTCATGTGAAATCTGGAAATCAGCTTTAGAACTCAATCTGCCATCATCTCTTTTGTTCTCTGTAATTTAGTGAGTGCACTGCCATTAATGCTCCCTGATACCTTCTCGAACATCCAAATGAGGGAAAGAAAGGCCATTTTCTATGTCTTGGAGTCACTGAACTAGAGATTTTGATACAATATTGGAAAAGGGGATCTAATATCACAGATTTTTACCTTTTGCAGATAATGCTGTAGATCCAGATGTATCTGCCAGGACGGTCTTTATAGATGTTGAGGAGGTCAAGAATAAATCTTGTTTGACCTTTACCGATGATGGATGTGGGATGACACCTCATAAACTACACCGAATGCTCAGGTAAAAATGTCTTCATTGGCTTTTTCTTGTCTTAAGCTCATGAACCCTATTTAAGGCTTCATAATTTTCATTAATATTTTGCTTTCCTTTTGTTTATTCAACAAATATTTATTAAGCATCTCTTATGTGCCAGGACACTGATTATGAAACAAATACTGTCCTGCCCTCACAGAGCTTTCAGCCTAGCTGGCAATTTAGACAATTAAGTAATAAACAGCTATAAGCATAATGATAAGAAGGTACAGAATGCTTGAGATGAGTCATCAGGGGAACCCAATCTGATCCCAGAGGTTAGGAAAAGTATCCTAGACAAAATGATATTTAAGCTGAGATCTAAGGGTGAGTACAGTTTAACCAGGTAAAGGGGCAGGGAGCAAGGGATGACAGTTCATGTAAAGAGAACAGCAAATAAAAAGACCCAGAGGCCTTCAATGGTCCGAGACCTCCAATTTATATTAACCTAAACTCACTCTTAAATCAGAAGTATTGGAGTTGGAATGATTTATTGATTGGAACCGTGAAGGTGCCTGGGTATAATCAAACCCCATGCAAGATAAATAGAAGGCATTCAGACACATATTCTTTAAAGGTTTTGCAGTAGAATCACAAACTTAGGAAATTCTCCTTTCTAACTGTTGAAGCTGGTGCTAGATTTCTGTTGCCACTCTCAGTTCATTTAATCACTTTAAAACATTTGTAGTTGAGAACGTAAATTTATACTATATCATCTTCGCGTATCACTCAGTGGAAGATGAGTGTTCCTTCAACTCCTTCCTTCTCTTTTCCTTTTTAGCAGATGAGGTTGATTACTCTCCCTGTGGCTTCCTGAACTAGAGTGTGTGAAGCACGAGTAACAATGGAGGAGTGCTGTGGAGGAGGGAAAGGGCTCCGAACTATAAAAATGGAAAATAAATTCATGTGGTTGTAGTTACCCTTGTAGGTATTCTAAATGAATTACTCTGTTTGTAGGGAAATCCCTTTGATCCATCAAAGAAACAGACATGAAATTTGGGCAAAGTAAGTGGTTGCGTTTTACCACTCAGCAGTCTGTATACCTTGTGTCTCAGACCCTCCTAATTAGAAGACTATTTGAGGAAAACCTCTAAAAGTGAAACAAGAATTGTGACCAGTATGTTAGTGAAGGTAGAGAGTTGGCTCAATCCTTCAACTTATAATACCAGTTTTATATCCTGAAGCTAATATTATATATTAAGAATATATATATTTTCTTCTTATTATTAACATATATATATTTTCTTATTATATATTAAGAAAAATACAATTTTAGATGGGATGGAACCAAAGCATTTATATATTCAGTTCTGTATGTACTAGTTGTTTTTTTCCCCCCTAAAATTACTTGTCTTCTTATTTTTTGAGACAGTCTCACTCCATCACCCAGGCTGGAGTGCCGTGGCGTGATCTCAGCTCACTGCAACCCCAGCCTCCTGGGTTCAAATGATTCTCATACGTCAGCCTCCCGAGTAGCTAGGATTATAGGTGTGTGCCACCATGCCCGGCTAATAATTTTGTATTTTTAGTAGAGACAGGGTTTTGCCATGTTGTCCAGGCTGGTCTTGAGCTCCTGACCTCAAGTGATTCACCCGCCTCAGCCTCCCAAAGTGCTGGGATCACAGGCGTGAACCACCGCACCCATCCAAAATTGCTTATCTTATTAATGATTCCGTCCCATCATACCTTATCCCATTGACATGGGTGTTGAGTAGTGGGCCCAGCAAATCTGATCTTCTTCTATTTTGTCTGTGGGACTACATCTGTGAAACTTGGTTAGAGTTATACGGTAGAAAGGAGGAGAAGAATGGTTTCAAAATAATTGCCACAATTTTTGTTCCAGATTCATTCATTTATTCATTCAACAAATTTTTATTGAGCACCTGTGTGCAAGGCACTGGAGATAAAGTGGTGAACCAGACAGACATGATTCTTGGCTGACAGCTTAGTGAGAAAGAACAACATTGACTAGTAATATAACTAAATAGGCTGTTCCACCCAGTGGTAAGTGCTATGAAGGTAGAGCACAGTTTCTTTGAGAGCATATAACAGGGATCTAATCTAGTCTAGAGAGTTAAAAAAGGCTCCCCTGAAGAAATGACATTTGAATTGAAATATGAAGGATGAGTATCACCCATTCAATTTTTTTGTTCCCTCCCCAAGGAGCAAAATAGGCAGAAACTTTCTTAGCTGTAGAATTTTCCCTATCATACCAAATATGTTTCCCACCAATTTGAGCTGGGCAATTGTTCCTCCTATTTAAAAAATAATCTCAGGTATCTTCTAGCTGATTCAAGTTTGTTTTTTTGTGATTGTATCTTGAAACAAACTTGAATCAGCTAGAAGATACCTTTTTTTTTAATTAAAAAAAATTTTTTTTGAGACGGAGTTTCACTCTTGTCCCCCAGTCTGGAGTGCAATGGCATGATCTTAGCTCACTGCAACCTCCACCTCCTGGGTTCACACACCTCTCCTGCCTCAGCCTCCCGAGTAGCTGGGATTATAGGCAGGTACAACCACGCCCAGCTAATTTTTGCATTTTTAGTAGAGACAGTGTTTCACCATGTTGGCCAGGCTGGTCTCGAACTCCTGACCCGAAGTGATCAGCCCGCCTTGGCCTCCCAAAGGGCTGAGATTACAGGCATGAGCCTCCACGCCTGGTGAAGATACCATTTATTTAAAAGAGATCATTTAAGTCCAAGCATGGTGGATCATGTCTATAATTCTAGCACTTCCAAAGGCCAAGGCAGGCAGATCGCCTGAGTCCAGGAGTTTGATACCTGCCTGGGCAACACAGGGGGACCCCCTTCTTACAAAAAAAATACAAAAATTAGCTGAACATTTTGGCATGCATCTGCAGTCCCTGCTACTCAGAAGGCTGAGGTGGGAAGATCACTTGAACCCAGGATGCGGAGGTTGCAGTGAGCTGAGACTGTGCCATTGTAATCCAGCTTGGGCAACAGAGGGAGACCTTGTCTCAAAAATAAATAAATAAATAAAAAATAAAAGATTATTTAGTCCAATCCTAACTTCTAGCAAAGGATTCTACATTTTTTTTTTTTTGGATGGAGTTTTGCTCTGTCGCCAGGCTGGAGTACAGTGGCGTGATCTCGGCTCACTGCAACCTCCACCTCCCTGGGTTCAAGCAATTCTGCCTCAGCCTCCCAAGTAGCTGGGATTACAGGTGCGTGCCACCACGCCCAGCTAATTTTTGCATTTTTAGTAGAGACGGGGTTTTACCATGTTGGCAGCTAGAATGGTCCCACCTCGGCCTCCCAAAATGCTGGGATTACAGACATGAGCCACCATGCCTAGCCGGAAGGATTCTGTTTTTTGTTTGTTTGTTTGTTTTTAAAGGAGTTTCATTCTTGTTGCCCAGGCTGAAGTGCAATGGTGCGATCTTGGCTCACTGCAACCTCTGCCTCCCGGATTCAAGTGATTCTCCTGCTTCAGCCTCCCAAGTAGCTGGGATTATAGGCATGCGCCACCATGCCCGGCTAATTTTGTATATTTAGTAGAGAGAGGGTTTCACCATGTTGGTCAGCTGGTCTCAAACTCCTGACCTGAAGTGATCCACCTGCCTCGGCCTCCCAAAGTGCTGGGATTACAGGTGTGAGCCACCGCGCCTGGCGCTGTTTTTTATTTGAAGGCATATTACTTTTGTATTAGGAAAAAATAATAGAAGTAATTATGCAAATTTATTAAGCCTGCAGAAGTTCTATTTGACCTCTAACATTTGTTGTTACCCTGTCCACACTTTCCAACTCTTTATGCAATTCTGTTTTCAGACTGATAAAATAGTTGTGTAACTGTAGCAACAGTTTCTTCCATAAACATAGAATTTCATGAAAATCAAATTAAAAAGGAAAAACCTATTATTAAATTCCTTTAAGGTCCACAACTAATTATCTTTACCTTCTGGGGCTAGTGTGTGGATCAGTTAGTCTGTATATTCAGCTGCCTTTTTCAAGCAAGGTGAGAAACCGCTTTCAAAGTTCAAAGACTAAAAAGAGCCACAGAACCACAGAGGGTATTTGCTACCTGTGCTCAGAAGTGCACTTCCTAGCAGGTGTATTCTTCTAAAACAATAGCTGGAGAATAACAGTCTGCTTAGCACGCTTTCATTCTTTTATATTACATATTAAATCACAAAAATACCTAGGAAATAGCAGTGCCTGCCTTTGTGCGCCCATGGATTTTGCCAAGGTTTGTTTCATTGGTCAGAGTCCTTATTTATTTATTTATTTATCTATTATTTTTCTTAACTTTTGTATTTGGTTTGGAGGTACACGTGAGGATTCATTACATAGGTAAACACGTGTCACTGCAGAGTCCCAATTTAAATTTACCTCTCTGGATTCTGGATTCTTGACATTTTAAGATACTCCAGAGCAAGCTACTGTAGTTTTGAATTCCACTAAAAGTGCTGATATCCAAGCCACCTTGATGTGTAAACAGTGTTGTCTCTTACATGAGAGGATACAGCAGGACTGACTTAGCAAATAGAAACCACCTGAGCCAAGTTAGCTCTGTGGAAAATATTACTGAGCTATAGCAAACTATCATATTCATTCCTACAATTCTATTATGTGTGGTGAGGGCTTTTGTATTAGGTAGTTATTTGATTGGTACCTGGCATTCATTCTGCCAGTTTGCATTTAAATGGAATGCCTAACATGAGAACTTAGGTGGAATAAAAGAGCACACAGGAAGAGTTAAGTGAAACACAGTAACAACAACAAAAATCCAGAGTTTACAGCTCCTCTCTTCTCATTTTTCTTATCCTTTTCCATTCTGGTTCTAGCCTCACGCTACTGGTTATCTTCTCAACCTTGTATCATCATTTGGTCTCCCCAAATGAACACAGTGAGGGTTTATACTTTCAAAGGGAAAAAGAGGTGATAGATGGTGGAAGAGGCTAAAAAATTAAGGGAGTTGTAATCTCCCTATTTTCACCACTTCCCCTTGATCACCTAATTGAAGCTTTTGTGGTATAAGAGAAAGTTAAAGTCCGGTTAACCATACAAATTCATTTGGAGTGGTGTGTAAGATTACTATTTATGGAGAGCCCTGAGTTTTAGATGTGATCTTAGGTCTGAAGTAGGAGTAGGGGATAGCACATGACAACTATCAGAATGACTTCTAGAGTTAGTTTAAAATTAATGTTTGAATACTACTTTATACTTAATGTATTTTGCATACAGTATATAATTTAATCCTCATAACAAACTTTTTTTTTTTTTAAAAAAGCCAATTCTTCCACAAGAAGAATGGGAATGCCTGAATCTTACTATTACAAGTCTATATCCTGGAATACTAAGGCCCATAGGCAACACAGACTGAATATTCTTTTTTTTTCCAACAGACTGCTGCCGTGGAAATTACCTTTTTCTGTCACTAGATTTATTTGTGCGATACACACAGCTCCTATAAAGTGTTTACTCTAGGAGGACATATGGTATTACTGTATAATGCTTTGAAATAGCAAATTAAAAGGTGGTTCCCTTTCCTAGTGAGTAAACACAAAACCATAGCCTTCAGGAAGTAGAAATCAGATACCTCAGCTCTCCATGCTCAAAAGAGTAAAATTGTTAAAGATCAGCCTGCTCAGTCATGGTCTGCTCAGAGTATCTATTTTATTGATGTTGAGAAGCACCTAATCTGAAATATAAGAAGTCCTTCCTTAGATTATAAACTCTGAGGGCAAAAATCATGTCTCTTTTATTAACAATTGTCTCTAGTGCTTAGCCCAATGCATGGCACATCGTAGGTGCTTAGTTTAAATATTTATTGAATGAATGGTAGTGCACAACATTGTAAAATTAGTCAGTCTGGAGAGAAACAATCCTTTTTAGTATGATTTTTTTTTCTTTCATTGATACCTAATATTTTACATATTTATGGGGTACATGTGAATACTTTATACATGCATAGAATGTGCAGTGATCAAGTGAGGGTGTTTGGGGTTTCCATCACCTTGAGAATTTATATGTTGGTGACATTGGAAGTCCTCTTTTCTAGCTACTTTGAAATATATGATGTATTATTGCTAATTATAGTCACCCTGGGCTATGGAACATTAGAACTTTTTTATTCTATCTAACTATAAGTTTTGTACTCATTCACCAAACTCTATTCATTTCTCCTTCTCATCCTGAGAAACAATCCTTACAATTAGTTTTATTGATGATGAGGGAAGATATGTAATCATTTAATTTTTAGTTTTTAAAGTTCTGTTATTTTGGTGTGTACCTGAATGAAAAATACAAGAAAAGAGAAAGGTTCTGGCTTCCAGATTAAGCTGATCAAAATGGACTACAGAGATTGTTGAGGTGCCTAAGTGAAAGGTCCTTAATAGAGCAAGAGAGACTTTATACTGCAGCTGTTTGCTGATATTCAGAGGCAGAACTACCTATTTTTATCCTTTGGCCACATTCCAATGAACTGTCCCAGCAGATGAGACTAAGAATTGGAAGGATTATCCTTTGAGTGGAGAGTTGAAATTGTCAAGATATATGATCCCTGACTTTCAGATTTCTAGAGGATGATATAAACAGGTTAGGAGATGCCTAATCTAGTACCTCTGACCAATGACAATATCTGAAACTTTTGTTACCCTCTCTAGATAACTACCCTTTTCACCTTACCCTAACTTTGCTTCTACAGCAATCAGAGCTGTTTTATCTAGACAGGAAAGGCAGCTTCCCAAGCCTTTTCCAGCTATGTTAGCTGGTGGAAAGGGGCCCTTTTTTACTTTTATAAAGTGTGACTCTAACGTAATGGAACTATTTATGTACACACAAACCACACAGAAAAATTAATCCCATTACCCCATAGTAATTTCCTGTGTTTTTAACCTAATAGTTTTGCCCATAAATACCAAAAGGAATAAAAAAGGAGGGACTTTTTACAAGTGTTATTTATTTGTAGGCCAAATATTCTGCCTGTCACCTATCTTAGGATGCTTTTTACCATTCTGATTTCTTTTTTTCTGATTTGTTTTTTCTTCTGTAATTGCAGCTTTGGCTTTACAGATAAAGTAATAAAGAAGAGCCAGTGTCCCATTGGGGTCTTTGGTAATGGTTTCAAGTCAGGCTCCATGCGGCTAGGAAAGGACGCCCTTGTCTTCACCAAGAATGGGGGTACTCTCACTGTTGGACTTCTATCACAGACCTATCTGGAATGTGTCCAGGCCCAGGCAGTTATTGTACCAATTGTTCCATTCAACCAGCAAAACAATATCCTTTCTGGAAATGGAGAATGTTGGTTAAAAATTAGTCTAATCTGAGTGTTTTGATAGGAACCTCTTCAGGTCAAATCCAACTATCAGAAGTTTTAAAAGAGGTATTCAAATGTCTTAAATTTAACTGGGATTTTTCTGTATTAAATATTTAAAAAATAAGACCATTGACAGAAGCTTAGAAATGTTTTTGCTGTATTGAAATTTTCATTGTTACACAGTTTGATCTATAGAGTATGTGTCTGCTCTACCACCACCCCATGGTAAAGCTCCCGGGGCCTGCCTTTTTTCCCCCCTCCAAAGGATAGCTACATTTGTATTGATACGCCTAGAAATATACTGTTTATCAGCTTATATAATAGCAGAATAGTCATTTCCCTATATCTGCACAGCTGTTACTTCTGTTAGACACCTGGTTGTCTTGACTGGAACAGTATAGCAATAAGGTTTTAACTTATTGCTTCCAAAGAAGTTAAAAATTTAAGCCTTTGATCTTTGCTTTTAAATATAAGACTTTGTTTACATTATATCTTTGAAGCTATATTCTGCATGGGCAACTGATTTTGGAGCTTGTTTCTATAACTTTTCTCCATTTTTCACCTTTCTTCTTTCTATAGCAGTAATATGCATGCTTTATGTCTGTAGTTTTGTCTAAATATGCAACCCAAAGGGCAGATCTTCCTTCTCAATAGCATCCTAAGATATTATTTTTTTCTTTGACTATATTTGATTTTACAAAAAATGATTATTACCGAGGATTCATTGCCCAGCCTAGAAGCCATCTTGAACTATTCCATTTTCAACAGTGAAAATGACCTGCTGGCCCAGTTTGATGCCATCCCAGGCAAAAAAGGCACTCGTGTTCTCATTTGGAACATCCGCAGGTATAGTATTACGAAGGTGGTAGCTTCTAATAAACAAAGGTAGTATGATGAAACACATTTTTATTTAATTTTAACTTTCAAAATTTTTATAGAAAGACAGGGTCTCATTTATGTTGCCCAGGCTAGTCTCGAACACCTGGCTTCAAGCGATATTCCCTCCTTAGCCTCCCAAATTATTGGGATTACAAGTGTGAGCCACTGCACTTGGCCTAGCATATTTTAATAACTCTTTTTAGAGAAGCAAAATAGATAAATTTTGATACATATTTATATCTCATTGCATACTTTTATGTAACTTCGTCTTAGAAAAACAAGAGTTCTGGCTGGGTGCAGTGGCTCATGCTTGTAATCCCAGCACTTTGGGAGGCTGAGGTGGGCAGATCACGAGGTTGAGAGACTGAGACCATCCTGGCCAACATGGTGAAACCCCGTCTCTATTAAAAAAAAAAAAAAAGTACAAAAATTAGCTGGGCGTGGTGGTGCACCCCTGTAGTCCCAGCTACTTGGGAGGTTGAGGCAGGAGAATCACTTGAACCCAGGAGTTGGAAGTTGCAGTGAGCCGAGATCATGCCACTGCACTCCAGCTTGGCAACAGAGTGAGACTCCGTCTCAAAAAAAAAAAAAAAAAGAAAAAGGAAAACAGTTCTGTTTGAGATAGTGGTTCTTGTTGGTAGAATGTGGTATGTTTAAGGTGGAAACACACATATCCTGAGGCTATTGACACAGATAATTAGGACAGTTTAGCATATTCTAAGCTCCTCAGAATCCTTTATAAATATCTATTTCATATTCATGGGCATTTTTTTTTATTTTTATTTTTTTTTTTTAATGAGACAGAGTCTCTCTTGCCCAGGCTGGAGTGCAGTGGTGGAAACTTGGTTCACTGTAACCTTCACCTTCTGGGTTCAAGTGATTCTTGTGCCTCAGCCTCTCGAGTAGCTGGGATTACAGGTGTGTGCCACCACGTCTGGCTAATTTTTATATTTTTTGTAGAGACGGGGTTTTGCCATGTTGTCCAGGCTGATCTTGTACTCCTGACCTCAAGTGATCCACCCACCCCAGCCTCTATTACTGGAGTGAGACACCATGCCTGGCCAATAGGCATTTTTTTTATGTTTGGTAATTGATAGTTATTTTACTTATTAGACAATGACAATGAAGCATGAGAAAGAAAAATTAGAGCAAACAAAATACAGTAAGATCTTTAAAAAAATAACAACTTCTATATTAGTGCTTTCACAGTAGCTGGATTAGAAGTAGAAAAATCTGGCCAGGCATGGTGGCTCACACCTGTAATTCCAGTACTTTGGGAGGCCAAGGCAGGAGGATCACTTGAGGCCAGGAATTTGAAACCAGCCTGGGCAACAAAGTGAGACCCTGTCTCTTAAAAAAAAAAAAAAAAAAAAAAAAAAGAAGTAGAAAAAAATCTTTGAAGCAGATAAATATGAACTATAATGAGACTAGGTTAAGATCATGTCTTCAAAACTAATAAAACAATCTAGAAATACTTTATGGTATTTCATTTTTTTAATCTTAGCATGTCTAATGGAATACATTTAAGAATGGATTATGGCTCAAGCCTGTAATCCCAGCACTTTGGGAGGCTGAGATGGGCAGATCACGAGGTCAGGAGATCGAGACCATCCTGGCTAACATGGTGAAACACCGTCTCTACTAAAAAAATACAAAGAACTAGCCGGGCGTGGTGGCGGGCGCCTGTAGTCCCAGCTACTCGGGAGGCTGAGGCAGGAGAATGGCATAAACCCGGGAGGCAGAGCTTGCAGTGAGTGGAGATGGCGCCACTGCACTCCAGCCTGGGCAACAGAGCAAGACTCCATCTCAAAAAAAAAAAAAAAAAGAAAAAAGAATGGATTAACACCTAAACACTAAAAAATAACCCTAAAAACCTTTAATATAAAATAGAGGTATTACTGATATGCCTAATAGAAAAGATTATCAGATACATTTCTTCATCCTTTTCTCCTTAGGTGAAGTATTTTGTCTCATTTACCTGGGTAAAACAAATAAAAACAATGCTGGTTTATATAGAGAGTACTGTACTTAACAATTAAAAGAAGTGTGACTCACACATTGGTAATTTAGATCCTCGCTGTGTCCTACTGAGAAAACCTCAAGTAATATAGTTGGTATTACAAAGAATTTTTTGAGGTATTACAGTGATTTACATATCTTAAACAGAACTTTTTCTTTTTATGTCATTTCCCAGTTATGTATATGGTACTAGGTGCTATACAGGTTGACTTTCCCTAATCCAAAAATCTAAAATCTGAAATGCTGCAAAATCTAAAACATTTTGAGCACAGACATGACAACTCAAAGGAAATGATCATTGGAACATTTCGGATTTTGGATTTTTAGATTAGGAGTGCTCAACCAGTAAGTATAATGCAAATATTTCAAAATCCAAAAGGATCTAAAACACTTCTGGTCCCAAACATTTCAGTTAAGGGATACTCAACCTGTATAAATAAAGGATTACATGGTCAAATAAATTTGGGAAAAGCTGACTTAAGGTTTACTGTGTTGCTTTATTGTAGGACTTCTGAGAGTCCTGGAGTACTTTAATATACTAATGTATGTTGAAAATATGTAAAAGAGCTATACACTATGCAGCGTTTCCCAATCAATTTTGAAAAAGTGTTTCTTTAGGTTGGGTGGTGGCTCACACCTCTAAACCCAGACCTTTGGGAGAACAACATGGGAGAATTGCTTGAACCCAGAAGTTGGAGGCCATGGTGAGCTATGATCATGCCACTGCACTCCAGCCTGGGCAACAGAGCAAGACCCTGTCTCTAACGAAAATGTTTCTACAGACCTTTTTTCCTTAGATGGGGAAGGTGAGGGACAAGGAAGACAGAGCATCTCCTCAGGGCATATGCCTTGGGGTCGGGTGGAGTAGTGAGAATCAGAATTATCCTGGAAAATCCATAATATGCTATCATACATTGACATGGACATGATGCAGACAGACCATAATGGCTCTGGTGCAGCCCTATAAAAGGAGCTACAATTTCAACACAGCAGCTCTGAGCTTACAGAGCCTGAAGTATGAAGCAGAGTTATCACTAGAGCTCAAGGTGACTCTGAGGGCTAAGAATTATTTCTCAATTTTATTTGATCTTAGAACTTTTATGTATTTTATGTATTTTATTTTATGTACTTTTTAAGAGTATCTTATGAGATTACTGTTGCACAGAATAAATTTTGGGAACTACTGTTCTGATATATATGTTTTCTCTAAAACCTGTCATTTGAGTTTTTTTCAAGGATTAAGATGGGTCTTAACCTTTTTTCCCTGGCAGTGGTTAGTCATATAGCTCAGGGTCTTGGAATGGATCAAAACCAAGTGGCCCAAAAAGATTATGGGAAGAAGAAAGTTCCTTATGAAAGGAATGTTAGTACCATTATGTTTAAATGATAATTCTATAAATGGTATCCTAGAGGACTAGTAAATATATGCTGCTTTTATAACAATCTTTTTTCCTTTTAAGAAATAGGATTAGATCTGGGGAGATGTTAGTATCTTTTTTGTTTGAAGTTGGTAGAAGTGGGTTTTGATTCATCTGTTCATTCAGTTGGGGAAAATGATGTTGAGTGACTTACTAACAATACCTAGAAAGCTTGTGTCTATTTTAAGATCCCACTTTGAAGATAGCTGACATCCATTTGATTTATCAGATCATAGACATTCCACGTTCTTTTTTTCTTAGGAATGTGGCATCATCACCTCTATGAAAAAGTAGATTTGTTTAGAATGGGAATACCCTTAAGTATCATATGATCCTCCACCCAAGTGGTTTGTAGTTCCTTTGCACTGGTAGTCAGGGAAAGAAACAGATACCTGAGTTTTGGCTCATATTGTTTTTTTTCTTTTGGGTTCCTAGTGCATTTTTTGTCCTTTGGAGCCAGTTTTTGTTAGATTGGTACTTGTCTGTTTTCCCCAGAAATAAAAATGGAAAATCTGAGTTGGACTTTGATACAGATCAATATGACATCCTGGTATCAGACTTTGACACAGAAGAAAAAATGACTGGCGGTATTACCTCTGAGCTGCCAGAAACAGAATATTCTTTAAGGGTAAGTAAGAATGGTTTTTCAACAATGAGAGGTAAGATTTCCTATAACCTGAAAATATTATAGAACAAGATCTTCTTTTAGTTATTCAAAGATGACAACCCTCCAGCCATGTGCTAGTATTCCTTTATTGTCTCAGGTGAGACAGTTTAGATAATATAGTCAACAGTACTTTAGTGTGGTAGTTTACATAGTGTAAGAAGGTATAGAAATGGAGCCAAATCTTTGCCCAGCATAGAATCAGGTGATAGCAGTGTTTTATGGGGATGTCAGCAGAATTGCCAATATCACATAACTTTCCCTTCACCATTCTATTCCACAGGCATTTTGTGGTATTCTATACATGAAGCCACGGATGAAAATTTTTCTGCGTCAAAAGAAGGTGACTACCCAGATGATTGCCAAGAGCCTGGCCAATGTAGAATATGATACATATAAACCTACCTTCACAGTATCCTTACAACTATACCACTACATGAAGTTGACCTCTTTATTTCAGGATTAAGTTTTCAGGTTGACACAGAAAAACAAAAACTTTTCCAATTCAAAAACATATGTCATAGTACACATTCTATTATAGTGTACTCTGAGGAAGTCTTTCTTAAATGCCAATCTATGTACCATTTTTATCAGAAATCACCTGGAAACTGTTGAAATAATAGAATCTTGAGACTGGAGATTCTGGTTCAGTAGTGTCTGAAACCTTTTTTTAAAAAAATAAGAAATATTTATTATTTTAAAATCCTCAGCTGATTCTATTGAGCAGCCAGGTTTGAGAATCTCTACTGTAAGGAATAATACACATCATTTGGTTTGTACTGGGATTTTGATATATATTAAATTTACTGAAATAAGCAAAATACTGACTAGAACTTCTTAATCTTGTAGATACACTGCAATTTTTTATTGTAACAGGTCCAGACTTACATTGATTGAAGTTAGGAAAGTGGAAATTAAAAGTTGATTTTCTAGAGTGAAATAAATCTTCTTAGGGTTTGACATAAATTCCTGGTACTTCTCATAATGGTAGCCACTCAGAGGAGCCATTGCTTTTTACTTCTACCTCTCCCCCGCATTGCATCGAGAATGGATTTCAGAGACTAGAAAAAAATCTTAAGATAAACTGTGGATATTAGGTACAACTTCGTTGATGGCTTTTGGGGCAGAAAATGTTTTTGAAAGGCTGAAAACTTGCAAGGTTATGAAAAATTGTCCTTTTAATTTATTTTCTAGTAACTAAGCACAACTCTTGGCCTGAGAAACATGCTCACACTCTATTTGCTTTATCAAAGGCATTATGTAGCATGCTTTGTCCTTCCCTGACCAAAAATGAGAAATTGTTGGTCTCTTTTTTCTCCTTTTTGGAAACACATATCTTGGCTACTAGGAATGTTTTCTTAAAGCACTAAACAAATCAATTTAATAAAGCCAGAGCTAGCATTGTTTGCTTCTATAGGTGAATTAGTTATAATCTCACCATATGTAGACTAGGATATTAGTACCATAGGTTTAACAGAGCCAGTCTAAAGAAGTGCTTTCCAACTACTGTTTTAGGATATAACACATACCTGTCTCTAGCTTTTTTCTTTTGTGGGTTTCTATCCGGGAAACTTTTATGCATGCATTCTATATGTTACCTCAGCTCTTCTCAGACTCCCTTCTCATTAAACCAAATTACCTTCCAATATTATAGTTTGGACTAAACAGATTTACTTTAGGCATGGGTAAAATGAAAGTCCTAATAAAATTTCCCCCAAGGTCACTGAGGAACAAGATCATTGATACTAACTTACTTACTTCTCAATTATCAAAGTCCACTTCTTTCATCTTTGTTCTGTCTCCTTGCACTAATTTGGCAAGTCTCCTACCCCAGTGTACCCTCACTCCATAATTTGGAATTTTAAAAGTGCACAACAGAAAGAAAAATTTGACAATCTTTATCTTTACAAAGTTAATTTTATGGCATAGGATTTTGGTTTGTTTGCTTGCAGGAGTTTTGTCTTGTTTTGTTTTTGCATTAGAATAGGTCTTATTTAAGGTTTTATGTGAACTGCTAGAGTCCAGAACATTATATATTCTGAGCCAAACATTACTGTGTTATGCACCCACTTGAGTCATGTCTTTGTGTCATATGTGACCCATTTGTTATAGGGTTTTGATGCAAGTAGCTTGTCTTTTAAAGGGGGCATGGAGATCATTTTTTGAATAAGTGACAAAAATAAATTTTCATTTGACTCATTTAGACATGAAGGTTTCTTAGAATTTGTTTTAATGAAAATCTCAGTTTCTCTGTCTCCCCTTTATCTTTCTCACTTACTTACCTCGGTTTTTAAATTAAGTAGGACGTGTTAAAAACTCATCATTATTCATATTTTACTTGTAATAATCAGTTGTCTTCATTTCATTTATCCAAGCTTGTTAACTTCTTCCCATGAGATGTATCACTACAGGACTATTCATTGTTCTTTACCTTTGCTTTTGCTTTCATTGTGTTTGGTATAGTAAGAAGATTTACTTTATTGGATATAATTTTACAGATTCGTATTGGCCCGTTTACAGCTCTTATCAGAACCTATGAGCCCTAGCAGCAAATTGAGCAACTAGCAAGGGCTAAAAAATGTTTTGTGATTATTTGTCAATTTTATAATCACTGATGGTATTTAGGTATCTTTTCTTACAGTCTTTCTATGCATGTGTGTGGTGTGTGTGTGGTGTGTGTGCGTGTGTGTGTGATGTTTTTATAATCTGAGCATTTCCTGATATTCTCACATATTTCAAGGGCATAATTTTAAAAGAGCTGCATGTAGCTGTATCAACATTTATTTAATCATTTCTTTATTGTTGAACATTTAAATTATTTCTGTTTTTCTGCTTTTATAACAAATTGAAAAATCTCTGTAATTCCTAAACCTTTATGGGCCTCCCTGACTGTTTCTGTGGGATAAATTCTTTAAAAGGTAATTACTTGGTCGAATATTAAGAATATTCTCAAAGCAATTGCAACAGGTGTTTAAATGCCCTCTCAAAAGGTTGTACCAATTTATGTCCCTTGGTATTTGATGTTTTTTCTATAATATGGTGCAAAATTTATCGTTGAAGTCCCTGGTATGTTTGTCTCCTTAACAATGTTCTTCTCAGAATAAGCAGGTGAGAATCACCTTTGGGTTCTCTTGCAAGAATAGTAACCAGTTTGGAATAATGATGTATCATAACAACCGACTCATAAAATCCTTTGAGAAGGTGGGGTGCCAGGTGAAGGTGAGTGGTTAATATTTCTTTGTCATAGGAGGCTGAAAAGAGTAGGAAGAGAATTTAAAATTTGCAAAGGGGATAGGCTCATTAATGGCTTTTACTCCCATCTTATGATGCTTTTTGAATTCTGATCCTGGAATTGTGTTACCAGTGAGCTGTCTTGTGTTGAAAAACTCTTTCTACCTCTCATTCTTCAGATGTTAATCAACCCAACAACTTTACTGAATACATTTTCTAAGTAGCTGTTACTAAGAGGCAGAATGAGAATACCAGCAAGTTTACCATGTGTCTCAGCTTATTTGTGTTTTAGGTAACTCTTTCCATTTTCTTGGGAAGACAATAAGGCGTAGTGAAAGGCATATAAAATATGGTGGTTGAAGACCAGGATTTGGGTCCTGAATTTTCCATTTACAAGCTGTGTAACATTGGATAAATTGTTTAATTTATCTGAGGATCAATTTCCTGACCTATAAAGTGGAAACAACAATAATAAACATACCTGCTTTGCCTACCTCGCAGCTTACAGGGTTGAGAGATGTAAATGGGATGAATTATGTGAAAATATTTTTAAAACCACTTTATACAAATTTTACCATCATCTTTAATGTCTTAATGATTATTTAAAGTAGCAATGTCTACAAGTATCCCTTTTATTCCTGTTTTACAGATAAGATTGCTAAAGCACAAAAATGATGAACTGCTTCATCATAGTAAGACAGTTATATAAAGCCCAGGATAACTCATTTTCAGCCTATTTTGTTTTTCCTTGTTATAGTACCTTTAGACAACTCATGTTTGTGTGCCAGTCTAATTACACCTTTACTCGGTTTCTTCCGTTAAAGAATTAGAATATGATTTAAATCTATGAAACTCTTGCATCAACTTGTAATTAATAATTGCTGTGTGACTCTCTTTAGTAGTTGTTTGGTGGCCTGTGTATGTGGGAAAATTGTTTATTTTAATATAGGATCACATAGCACCCCTAAAATTGTTTTCAGGTGAATATTTGTTTCAGTTCCTTAGAACAGTAGTATATAACCTTGGTTTTTTAGCACGGTAATTCTTTATTCAAATGCAGTCTTATGGTAGTCCTGGAATATAAAGCAGATAAAAGTTGAGGTAGTGTGGGTGAAGTAGAGATGGCTACTAATTGCAGAAGACTCCTAGTGATCTATGGATCATATTTTGAAAATCTCTGCCCTAGAATTTGTCAGAATTTCTAGTTCAGTTTAATGCTTGCAGTCTGTTGATGTACATTCTAAGTGTTTCTCTAGATCTTGATGGTCTTTTCTTGCTCATGAACGTTATGTAACCTTTCTATTATTGTTTGGAATCAAAAGGAAATGCCTGCAGGCAGCCAACAGTAATGTAAGTGTTGAAATTAATATTTTCTTCTAAGCCAACTCGTGGAGAAGGTGTAGGAGTAATTGGAGTCATTGAGTGCAATTTCCTAAAACCTGCCTACAACAAACAAGACTTTGAGTATACCAAGGAGTACCGGTGAGTCACTCCCAACCTGAGGTGCTTCCGTTAGTTTGTTCAGATGTGATTCTATTCTCCAAAGCCTCTAAAACCATCTCTAAAAACCTGCTAAATGAGTTAACTGAGAATTACTTCAAATTTGTTTTCCAAGATTAGAGATAAAATGATTTCATTTTAAATTAAAGTTTGCTGAATGATATATGGACTCTTGTTGAGATAAACCTTACCTTTAGAAATTATGCAAAGAGCATAGGAGTAATTTGGTAAAAGATTTCTGGGGAAATGAAAAGCTTTGGAATTGATCTTAATGGAAACAGATGAATGGATCTGAAGTTATGGAATACATTGGGTAAAAAAAAGCAGATTGAAATTTGTTCCAAAAATTTTTCTTGAAGCCAGTGAACAGATTTAGAGCAAAGTGGTGGAACAGCAGGAAAGATGTGCTTTCTTTAAAGCATCTAGATTTAATAGGGCAAGCAAACAGGTAAGATTCTGAAAGGAACTCGACATTATGGCTGGACCAGTAGGGATATTTTTAGAAGAGAAAGAAAGGAGTTTTTAAAGCCAGGTTAGAATAGTTTGTTTTAAAAATGTCGAGAGGGAAATGAGTTTTATTCGTTAAGTATTATGAGACAGCTTCTATGTGCCAGGTACTAAGGATGAAAAATAAGACTCTTCGACACCTATAAACAAATATGTATGCAAATAAGAAACTTAAATACTTATAATTGTTTAATAGGGGATATGGGCAAAGCAGGGAGAACTTTAAATATGCTTAAGGGTGTCAGGGAAGGCTTTACAAAGCAGATTATATTTGAGATTAAACATGAAGGAAAAGTTTTCTAGGTATACAGTAGAGGAAGGACATTCTAAGCAGAGGGAAGTATCTGTAAGCGCAAAAAAGGATAAGGGGCATTCTGGGAGTCTGGAGAAAGAAGGCATGAGGACATTTGCTGTCATTTTCCTTGAAGTCTCAGTAGCAAATATTTTTTCTTAGAGTGGGAGAAAAGAAATTTCCGAAATCTCTTTTGTTTTGTGCCCAGACTGTAATGAAGTCAAGTCTTGTATCTTAATTTGTCTGGAACCGCAAGAATTTTAGGTTTATTGTTTGAGAGAGATAACTATTTGAATGGCAACTCAAAATTAATTTCAGGGTAATTGGTTCATGGTCACTTGGGCTACTCAGTGGTTATGACAACTACCTGCCCTCAGTCTAAGTAAAATGGTCATTTAAATATAAATCTGGCCCATAATGGAAATCTTTGGCCAGGACTTGACTCTTAGGAGTGAAAGCTTAGGAATGACATTAGTTTGACAAAAGTATCCGAGTCAAGTTTTTATGTTTCAGTTGAATGAAAAGAATAGTGAATTGCTGATGACTACCTAAATAATTAAGATTTGTGAAATTCAAATGTTAGATATTAAAAATTATTTAACATCTTTCTATATCATCTTTGCCACCAACCCCCCAAATCTACCTTTAAAATTTTACAGGCATTAGACCTTTGGCTTTTGATGTCTAGTTTTGGTATAATGAGGTGATTGCAGTGGATCAGATAGAGATAGTCTGTAGACAGTAGATTTATTCAGTTGAACACACAGGATTTCTGACTTAGCATAACATCTGCTACACACTTTATTAAAAACAGAGAACTAGTATACTATTCTGCGTATAGTCTTTTGAGAATAACAAATTTGCATAACTCTTGTGCCAATTCTGGCACCTTTGCCCTTTTTTATTCAATTTATTTTATATAAAATGAAAAGGTATTTAAATTAAAAAAACAGGAATTTAAGAGAGGGATTAGAGAAGGTTGTCTGCTATAACAAACTCATCCTATGAGTATTATAGATATCAAAACCTGCAAATGATAAAAGAGATACCAGCCATTATACTGCTGGAATGTCTACAAATAAATCATCTGTAATATCACTTTTAACAGTTGTGGAGCTTACAGACATTTGTATAAACAGATTGTAACATATATGAAGTAATTTGGTGAGCAATAAAAAAGCTCTTTGATCAATCAAAGCCTAAGTAGCATGTTATGGGGAAAATGCCTTGATAGAGGAGATGGGGAAGGTTTTGGGTAGAAAGTATGACTTGAGATGTGCCTCACATGTTACAAGACATGGAAGAGAGGAAAGGGAATTCTAAGATGGAATTGTAGCATGAGCTAAGGTACTGACAGGAACTCAGAATTGGTAAGAATATGGGGAGGAGAGATAATGGGATATAACTAGAGTGAAGGCAAATCAAGTTAAATGGGTAGAGTAGAGCCATACCCTAGAGGAGCAGTTGGCAAACTTTTTCTGAAAAGGGCTGGAAGGGGTCACAACTACTCAATTTTGCTGTAGTATGAAAGCAGCCATAGACAATAAGTAAAGGAATCGGCATGGCTATGTCTAATATAATTTTGTTTACAAAAACAGGCAGTGGGCTGGATTTGGCTCCAGTTTGCTGACCCCTGTCCTAGAACCATCATTCCTAAATTACATGCTAAGCTACACATAATGAATTCATAGGAGAGCCATGAGGTATTTTACATCTTTGAGGGAAATATAGTGATACTCAACTTCTGTCTATAAACCACAGAAATGGTCTTCTATTGCTGTCATAACAAATTACCACATAACTTAGTGGCTGATAACAATACTAATTTACTGTAGTAGCGTGCTGTAGGTTAGATGTCCTACCCAGATCTTACTGGGCTATAATCAAGGTATTGGCAGGGCCGCATTCCTTTCTGGAGGCTCTAGGGAAGAATCCAGTTTCCTGTCTTTTCCAGCTTATAGAGGCTGCCAGCATTTCTTGCCCCTGGCCTTCTTCCTTCACCTTCAAAGCTAGCAGTGACAGGTTGAGTCCTCATATTTGCATCACTCTGATGACCTTACTTTTGTCATCACATCTTCTCTGATTCTGACTCTTCTGCTGCACTCTTCTACTTCTAAGGTCCCTTGTGATTACATTGGATAATTCAGGATATTCTTTCTGTCTTAAGGTCAACTTGATGAGTAACCTAAATTTCCACTTGCTGTGTAAAGATTATGTTTATCACAGTCTTCCCTTTGTTCTCTCAGATTCCACTTACATCTCATATGCAAAATATGTTCACCCCATCCCAACGTTTCCAAAAGTCTCCACCCATTACAGCATCAATGCAGGGTCAAAAATTTCATGTAAATGTCATCAACTAAAAAGTCTCAAATCTCATTATCTAAATCACATAAGGGCGATACTCTGAGTATGGTACATCTTCGGGCAAAACTCTTCTACATCTGAGGATATGTATTTTCTTTTTTTGTATTTTGCTGTTAAAATACAGTGGTGGGACAAGCATAGGATACTAATTATATATATTCTTTTTCAAATGGGGGAGAAACTAAAAGGAAAAAAGGGGTCACAGGTCCCAGGCATTTTCAAAAATCTAGCCATGCACATTCCATTAAATTTCAAGGCCTTCATCCTCTAGTCTTGAGGCTTTGCTCTCTGGGCTTATGATTCCACCCTCAAAGTTGACTTTCCTTTTTCCTGAAGGGTAGCATGTGTTTGCAGCTGAGTAGTTTCATCAGCCTGTTTCCTGACTGTAGAATTTTGAGGGTCCAACAGGCTTCTCTCCATCCCTTTCAATTCAAGCTAGCTTTTTGTTTTGTTTTGTTTGTTTATTTGTTTTTGAGATGGAGTTTTTCTCTTGTTGCCCAGGCTGGAGTGCAGTGGCACTCCACTGCAACCTCCCCGTACTGGGTTCAAGCGATTGTCCTGCCTCAGCCTCCAGAGTAGCCAGGATTACAGGCATGCACCACCACGCCCAGTTAATTTTGTATTTTTAGTAGAGACGGGGTTTCTCCATGTTGGTCAGTCTGGTCTTGAACTCCTGCCTCAGCCTCCCAAAGTGCTGGGATTTCAGGTGCGAGCTACCGCGCCCAGCCTCAAGCTAGCTGTCATGCTAGTATGCCACTCTTAAGAATCTTGTGAGTCTCCCATGTATGTCATGTATATTCATGTCATCCAACAAGAGGCTCTGGGCAGGTCTTTCCTGGGGAATCCTATACCTGTTTTTTGGCTTCAGCTGAGATGGCTGTGGAGATCTGTGAGTCATATGCTTTATCTTTCTTCTTATTATTATACTTTAAATTCTGGGTTACATGTGCAGAATGTGCAGTTTTGCTACATAGGTATACATGTGCCATGGTGGTTTGCTGCACCCATCAACCCATCACCTACATTAGGTATTTCTCCTAATATTATCCCTGCCCTAACCCCACACCCCCTACAGGCCCCAGTTTGTGATGTTCCCCTCCCTGTGTCCGTGTGTTCTTGTTGTTCAACTCCCACCTGAACATGTGGTGTTTGGTTTTCTGATCTTGTTATAGTTTGCTGAGAATGATGGTTTCCAGCTTCATCCATGTCCCTGCAAAGGACATGAACTCATCCTTTTTTATGACTCCTTAGTATTCCATGGTGTATATGTGCCACATTTTCTTAATCCAGTCTATCATTGATGGACATTTGAGTTGGTTCTAAGTCTTTGCTATTGTGAATAGTGCCGCAATAAACATAATGTGTGCAAGTGTCTATAGCAGCATGATTTATAATCTTTTGGGTATATACCCAGTAATGGGATGGCTGGGTCAAATGGTATTTCTAGTTCTAGATCCTTGAGGAATTGTCACACTGTCTTCCACAATGGTTGAACTAGTTTACACTCCCACCAACAGTGTCAAAGGGTTCCTATTTTCCACAACCTCTCCAGCATCTGTTATTTCCTGACTTTTTAATGATCGCCATTCTAACTGGTGTGAGATGGTACCTCATTGTGGTTTTGATTTGCATTTCTCTAATGACCAGTGATAATGAGCATTTTTTTCATATGTCTGTTGGTTGCATAAATGTCTTCTTTTGCGAAGTGTCTGTTCATATCCTTTGCCCATTTTTTGATGGGGTTGTTGGTTTTTTTCCTTGTAAATTTGTTCAAGTTCTTTGTAGATTCTGGATATTAGCCCTTTGTCAGATGGAT